AGTAAGATTTGATAGCATAGCTTTTACTGTTTTCTTTTTGAAAAGAATCTTACTGTTTGATAAAGTAAGATTTGATAGCATATATTTTACTGTTTTCTTTTTGACGTTTTGAAAAAAGCAAAGATTCCTTGCTTTTGAAAAACGTTTTCTTTATCTTTCTTCTCCTATAAAAGGAGACCATTCTTTCATTTGTAAACACAAGAAAATCAATACAATACAAGTTTTGAATTCTCTCAAATATGTTCTAATTTTCTTTCTCTCCCGAAAGGAAAATTCTTAATTGTTCTTATTCTTAGATAGAATAATATCCCACAAAAATATTTTATTTAAGAACTACCGATGGATCATTCCGGTAGGTATGCTTTATAGTTCTAAGATATGGTGCTAATAGTTAATATTAATTCCAGATCTTATAAGAACATTTTCTGTTTATAAAATTTTTTGATTTTTGTAAAGAATCTTATGTTTCATGCTGAGTATATGATAAGAGCATGTCTTAACTTCAAGTTAAAAGTTTTAAACTGTTTTTAAAATAAGCCCTGAGTGACCTCTCAAAGCGTAAAGGCCCAGTGGAGAGGCTAGAAGACGCATAGAAGAGGGAAAGGGATCACTGTTTTAAGAATTCTTGTTAAGGGAGTGCCAGTGGTGTCCTTACAAGAATGGAGTTAGGCCCAAGTTCATATATCTCAGATGGCATGTTTTAAAAAAAAAAAGAAAAAAAAAAAGGGATATTATTTTATCAAAAGAAAAAAGATATTTCAATTAAGAAGAGTACTGAGTAGGATTTTTATAATTTGTTTTAACAACCTCTTATAACAGCCTCCAAATCCTTGAAATATTAACCTTATTTCAGGACCCCCCCTCTCATTTGGTATCAGAGCCTTTGTTCCGGTGTTGGTGATTTCAGTATACTTCTTCAGACTTTTAGAAGGTAAAATTCTCTGAATTTTTATAAGATACTTACTTGTTTTATGATTTTTAGAATTTTACTTGTAGATCTAGAAAAAATAATTTATAGTTTTACATTTTATAAAGAAATAGAAGAGATTTTTGAATACGGTATAGAATTAATTTCTTTAGAAAAATATAAATCTATAGATTATTTATTTGCTATATTACAAGTAACTAAAAATTTACACCCAGAATTAAAAGAACAGATTCTATATAGATCTTTAATTTCAGAATTTAGAGAAGAATATTTTATAGACAGTTTTGATCAGATATTTATATCAGATCTAAAACTAAGGATTGAATTAGACAATATAGATAATAATTATTTGTCAGATCATACAAATTTTTCATTAGATTCTTTTTATTACTCATATTAGAATTTTAAAACTGGATCTTTTAATAAAAGAGATTAGTAAATTAAATGGAGAAATTAGCTCTTTAGAAAAAAGAATTTTTAATATTGAGAAAGATATTAATAAAATTCGTGAAAATTTAGATTTTATTAAAGGACAAAATCTGACAATTATAAATAAAATTTCTAAAGTAGAAAATAAAGAAAAATTTCCAGATCTTAAAACTATAGAAGCAATTGAAAATATAAATAAAAAATTAAATAATATAGAAAATAAACCTAATCAAGAAATTGAAAATATAATAAATAATCTTGATAGAATAAGTTTAAAAAATACAGGTAAAGAAAAAATAACTAGAAAATTATCTACAACATTTTATAAAGTATGAATAATTTTCCTGGTAGATCAAGAACTATTAGGGAAGTAGGATCATCCTCAGAACCCTATGATAGAGGTAGACATAGTACTTCTAATATAAGTACAAATATTATAGAAAGAATTTTACATAGACAACCTCAGTATAATCAGAATATAGAAGAACTTATAGATCCTGAACAAGATTATAATAGATTCCAAACTCATGGTTTACAATTACTTAATCCAGAAAATTTATATAATAGAGGAATTTATATATATATATATATATATATATGAAGTTATCCCTGCTTTGGGTAGCAAATGGGCGATTAGAAGGGAGACTAGCTACCCAAAAATGCTTCATTAGCGAGCACATGAGAAGCCATCGGCTAAAGATTTGACAGCTATCCTCGACGATCCTCATGTGAGTATTATATATTTGCAATTTATATTGTACGTACATTAACTCAGCTCGATACATGCTCGTTAACATGTTGAAATATGATATGTCAGCTCGAAGTTCATGCTGAGTTGGTTGTTTCGATGGAAGAGAAGGATCAAATGTATGTACGTGAATTGCATGTTCGACCTATTGAAAACGATCAAGTGTTTGAGTCTGTTCCGGATAGAAATAGGGTACGTTTATTTAATATCATTATTTAATCTGATTTATAATATTCATGCGTGGATTATTAATATTAATTGTCTTCTCTGTGTAGGAGCGTCATCCAGTAGAACGACGAGCACTTCCACGTAGGAGATCTCCTTCATCTCCACCGATGAGATCTCCGTCACCTCCACCGATGAGATCACCTCTACCGCCATTATCACATTCTCCGAGGAGATCTCTGTCTCCCGCACCCACCCCACCTTCCACGTGGATCGCCTGCACCCAGTCAGACCCGTTATTCAGATGATTTCTTTGCACGCATGACTGGTATTATTAGAGAGGAGCTGGGAACGATGCAATGTAAATTTACGACAGAGGTAGTAGCACTACGAGAGGAGATAGGAGTGCTGCGACGGGGTATTACGACAGAGGTAGTAGCATTGCGAGATGAGATTGGAGTGCTGTGACAAGATTTAGGAGAGCTTCATACTGAGGTTGTAGCACTTCGGGGCGATGTAGCAGGCTTCCGAGGTTCTGTCAGAGGGAGTGTCGGGGAGACTGGTGTTCCTCGAGATTGGTGGGCAACGGCCGCAGGAATCGATGAGTTTTTTTATTCGGTGCCGGAGCCCGGGATGGAGGGGATGGAGGTCGGGTCGGAGGTACCGGAGGAGGCCGGGATGGCTGGGGTAGAGGTGCCGGAGGAGGTCGGGATGGTCGGGGCGGAGGAGGTTGGGGTGGAGGTGACGGAGGAGGTCGGGATGACAGAGGGGGTGGAGGGAGGGACAGGGGTGCCGGAGGGAGAGATAGGAGTGCCGGAGGGGGTGACCGAGGAGGTAGCGAAGGGACACCAAAGGTGGTAGTAGAGGGGGATGAGGGGGTTGCGGAGGACGAGAGGACGCTAGAGATGACGGATAACGATGTAGTATTCGTGTCGGAGGGGGCGACGGAGGTGTCGAAGGGTAAGAAGCGTGTTAATGACGCGCCAGAACTAATGGTCGGTAAGAGATCGTGATTGCCGTCATAGCATATTGTTTCCCCATACACGACCGAGGCGAAGAGAAGGGGGTTTGTGGATGGGACGTTCCCCAATCTTTTTCGCGACGTCGACCCGGTCAGACAGAAGGCGTTCGATGATTGGTTCAAACCCCTTAAGTCTGAGTAAGTATTTTATGATTTTACTACTATTTTTTTGTATTTTTCGTAACTTTTTTTCATTTTTCAGAGATAGTTATACCATCGGCTGTACGACCGTGCCCAATGCTAAAAGGTGGTTCGAAGATGTACTGACGACCTCAGCTTGGCTCGCCGATGATGTAAGTTTTTTGAGTTTTCATTTATTATATTTATAGAAGTTCTTGGTTCATTTACTTAAACGTCTCTTATCTTTTTTGTTAGTTTTTTTTTTTGTTTCAGCATATCGACTTGGCTATGGAATTGTTACGCGATCGAGCTCAGAGATGCCCGAAATCTTATGACAGTCATAGTCGAGTTATCCTAAGCTCTGAGTTTGTTCGTATCGTAGATATTGAGCATCACGACCTCCTAAGCAAGGGGAATGAATATGTTCTGCCCGAGTACATGGTAGAGTGGGTGATTGGGCTACAGCCGAGGTGCGGAAATCCGTGGACGGATTGTACACATATGTACATTCCAGTGATCGCGAACTCACACTGTTTTTCACTGGAAATCGTATTTGCTAATTCCACTATGTATGTGTACGACTCTGATCACAGCTGTCTGACACAAAGTCAACTGGAGCAAATACTGGAGCCAATGGCTGTGATAGTGCCCTTGATGGCTAATCAGGCGATGATTCGAGTAAATGACATATTAGCCATTGTGCGGAACATGACGACGGCAAAACAAGAAAGATCGTAAGGATTTAAAACTTTTTAATTTTACCTTTTAATTTTCAGTTATATGTTATCGAACAAATATATTCTTCTTCGGTTGCAGGGGCGATTGTGGCTTATTTGCAATAAAGTACATAGAGTTTTTGAGTACTGGCCGCAATGTTGAGACAATAAATAAGTCTTGGATTGATATGTGGAGGCATAAATTAGCTTGCGACTTGTATGAATATAACTGTGGTCCTTAGTGCATTGTATATTATTTTATTGAAATGTAAATGTTGTTTATTTCAGTATAATTCTTGTTGTAATGTAATAATTTTTTAAAATATTTAATTAACAAAATATTATTATTTTAATTTACATTGTTGTTGTGTCTGTAATCTCTCCATATTGTCAGTTAATATTTATCGTTTCCTCACTTGTATTAAAAGAAAATAAATAGAATAATTATTATTTTCATTTACATAAGTAATCGAAATATAGCAATCAAATATTAAATAAGCAATATACACACTAAGATAATTAACGAAATATAATTTAAAAGGAATATAAATAATAAAATATACGTGCCAAATGAAGATAATTAATGAAAGAAATACTTCAACGAAAACTCGAACTAAGTGCTATTATTTTTATTCAAATAAATAATCGAAATAAGTAATTAAATATGAAATAATTAATTTTTTACTTAACCAATTAATATAATTAATTAAAAAAATTTAACCAATTATACATTTATTATACTTAACCTATTTTTTTATTCAAATATGCTGTTAGAAAGAGTAATTAAACAATGTGATTAAAATTACATCCGATTTAAATTGAGAATAGAAAAAGTATATTACAAATAGAGAATACATATGATTTATATAGATACTACACATCCTTCGAGTCATTATTTAGTGGGATTTGACTTGTACAAAATCGACGTGTATGTCCTGTAGCGCCGCACCTTTCGCACTTACGCGATTGTGGAAACTCTCTTGTAGATGGTATTCTAGACGTCCGTCTACGACCAGGAGTACGCGTTCGAACTTCAGGTGGCAACAAATAATTAAGTGCTACAATATAATCAGGAACTTCCCATTCGACTTCATTTGGTAAAGGAAATATAGTTTCGGCATGCGCTGCTCTCCAAAAATCAGCCATGTAATAATGACTGCATAAGCTGTGTGGTGGAAATCCTCTATACATAGCCACTGCGACAGCATGCGCACATGGAAAACTCTCCAACTGAAATTATCTACACGTGCAGGTATTGTCATTCAAGTCTACAATGTATCCAACATTACGCCCACATCTCACGGAGAAGCGAAATTGATCTAGTGGTTCCACAAATGGAGCTTTTCCCACTTCCAGAGTTTTGAATAGTCGATCTTCCTGTGCCGGAACTAGCACACTTGTGCAATTCTGGGATTCCTCACGTCTGTCATAAAACCACTGTTGCAACATGCTACGAATATGTTCAATCATTGTGAGAATTGGTAACTCTCGATCCTTCTTGAATAATGCACTGAGCGACTCCGCATTATTCAATGTCATCATGTTGTATCGACGTCCTGAAAAATGTGACCGTGTCCAATGTTCGACCCCCATATTTGATAGATATTCCCATGCACTTTCTTATTTATGTTCTATTTCGCCCATGAACTTTGTAAACTCTTCAAAGTTCTTCTGCAACTCTCCTAAACAATGCAACGATGCCACTGCCCCGGTACCTAGTCTTCAAGTTGCCCTGAATGTGGTACATGCAATAACCATGATGTGCTTTCGGAAAAATTTCGGCTATACCATTTATTATTGACTGCCCCCGATCAGTCACAAATGCAAGGTTCTCGATGTCCCCAATTACTTCTCTCAGTTTCGTGAAGAACCAACGCATTGCTAGATCAGTCTCTCCATCGACAATGCTAAATGTAAGAGGGTAAATTTGGATGTTGGCATCTTGACATGTAGCAATAATCAACTTCCCTTCATATCTAGCTTTTAGGACTGTACCATCAACTAGAATTAGAGGTCGCATCGCATTTCGAAAACCTCTAATGCATTGTCCAAGAGTCATAAAAAAATACTTAAAGCTATTCTGCCCATCGGTTTTAATAAAAAACGCCGAGTCAGAATTAGTTCTCACCATGTTGTGGCAATACCTGGCCAATTTGGCATAACTCTCCTCTGTTGAACCCATTAAATCTTCCAATGCACATTCTTTTGCCTTCCAGGCCTTCTGGTAACTCATAACTACCCCATACTCCCGACGGATGTCATTGATGATATCTGTAGGTCTGTAAATCGTCCGTGGGTCCTGAAACTTGTGCATTATCTGTCGACCAATAAACCATGATCGAGCTTGCCTGTGATCATTTTGATGAATACCCACTTCACAAGTATGTTCCCGCGCATACTTGCGAATTACAAAGAACTCATTTGTGTCCATTTTTGTTGCTCTCAAACGCCAACTGCAACTGTTGTCCACACAAATAATTGTGTATGTAGACTTGTTTGATTTTTTTACCTTAAACTCAAAATTATGTTTCATTGCAATTCGGTGCACAGCTTTTTGCAAATCTCTTTTCGTGTCAAACAATTGATCGACATGTAAATCTTCATCATCAGGAACTATACGCGAACAATTAGAAGACCGTGTACTCGGCCCAGCATGTGAACTCCGATCAGACTCATGTCTCTGTCTGGATAAAGCAATCAAATCCTGATTTGTAAATGGCCTTTCATCCTCGTTATCTTGAACTTCCTCGTAAATCCTTTGTGTAACGGTGACATCATGGCGAGTAGCAACTCTCCCAGGAATAACCACATCATCATCACGAGCAATCTCAACAGTATCCCAAAAATCATTCTCGTTACGATCCTCTCCATCGAAAACTTCGTGTTCACCTTCGGGGACATTTTTCTTCAACAAATTTACGCAAATAGGAGTTGTCTTTCGACATTAGTTAAATTGAATTACATGCTTTATTTGCACTTCAGAAGTAACCTTCAAATGTGGAATCGAAATTGTTGAATTCTTTTGAAATAAAAATCCTAATTCCATATAGTACTGAGAGGAATCGACGTTAAGCATGTTTTCTATTTCATTGTACATTTTCGTAAACGATGTATTTTTTGTTATCGAAATAGCAGCAACCCCTTCTCATTCACTCGTCCATTTTCATTCTCATTGACCATTTTGTTTCCTTTGAAATTCGTCGAAGTAACAGATTGGGACACATGCTTTTGCCATACCTGCATTACGAATTAAACAATTATCAGTGACATCATAGTAATCATTAAAAATATACTCAAACTCGTTGTTCTAGAAATGTTCCATAGTTTTTTACACTATACAACACAATTAATAACAAAAAAAGAATCAGTAAAAAAATTTAATTGGATTATTTATTTGAATAATTTAAATTAATATTTAATTCGATTTTTCATTTCACTATTTCTTTAATTAATTATCTTAATTCGTTAAGTAAGAAAATTATCATTCAATTTAATTTATTCTTTAAATATTTCGTTAATTACGTATATTATTCATTTCATATTTAATTATTCTATTTCGATTATTTATTTGAATAAAAATAATAATATTTAATTCGATTTTTCATTTCACTATTTCTTTAATTAATTATCTTAATTCAATAAGTAAAAAAAATTATTCAATTTAATTTATTCTTTAAATATTTCGTTCATTACGTATATTATTCATTTCATATTTAATTATTCTATTTCGATTATTTATTTGAATAAAAATAATAATATTTAATTCGATTTGTAATTTAATCATTTCTTTAATTAATTATCTAATTGGTTAAGTAAAAAAATTATTATTGAATTTAATTTATTTTTTAAATATTTCGTTAATTATGTATATTATTCATTTTATATTTAATTATTCTATTTCGATTATTTATTTGAATAAAAATAATAATATTTTATTCGATTTTTCCTTTTACTATTTCTTTAATTAATTATCTTAATTGGTTAAGTAAGAAAATTATTATTCAATTTCATTTATTCGTTAAATATTTTGTTAATTATGTATATTATTGATATCATGTTTAATTACTCTATTTTGATTATTTATTTGAATTAAAATATATTAATATTTCCATTTAAGTATTTCTTTAATTAATTATATTAATTGTTTCCATAATTAATTCACTAAACATATATTTATTATTAAACATATATTTATTATTTATTTCGTATATTTAATTACTAAACATATATTTAAGTAAAAAATAAATAAATATCTATTTAATCTATCTCTAAATTTCGTTCATTATCTTAACATATATATTATTTTTTTCATATTTAATTACATTTTTTAACATAAAAATTAAAATTGATTTAGAAAATTAAAAAAAAATAATTCGAGTCCGGATCCGGACCAGAACATGGTCCGTTGCGGACCATGTGGTTCGGAACGGACCATAGTTCGAAACAACGGACCATGTGGTCCGTTACGGACCATTTTAATGGTCCGTATGGACCATAGTTCGTTCCGGCGATCGGTGTCAGCTTTCACTTCGGTTCTAATATTATTTTTTTCTACCATTTAAACAAATATATGACTTTATTAAAAACAAAATTAAACAATAGGAAAAGATACTTACCGAATAAAAGTGCTGAAATTTAACGAAATATTTTTGTTGAGGTTGATAACTGATAAGTTTATGAAATTTTGAGGTTGAAGTGGATGAAAAATGAAAGAGTTTTTATCGTGTTAGAGTAAATTGATGAAAAAGAGTGACTTCGTTTTTAAATCTCAATTGAGAGGTGTTTGGATTTTAATTTGTAACTTAAGGATATTTTGGTCTTTTTAGCAGATTTCTATTTTTGTAATTGAATAACTCATTTAAAGGTATTTTCGTCTTTTACACAAGAATAGGCCTTTGTGGTGAATGTCAAATTTTTTTGGTTAAAGTGGAAAATTGGTTGTTTGACATGGCTAATATTAAAAGTACCCCGGAAGTTCGTGAGTTAATTGTTCCAATGATCATTGAACTTAGATCCATATATTTGATTGGCAATTGAACTTTAAAATGTCGAGTTTTGGCCATTGAACTTTAAAAAATGTCGAGTTTTGGTCACTGAACTTAGATCAATGTTTTTGATTGGTCACTTAACTTTAAAATGTTAAGTTTTGATCACTGAATTTTGAAAAAATGTCGAATTTTGATCATTAAAATTAGGTCCATATTTTTTATTGCTCACTAAAATTTAAAATGTCGAATTTTGGTTACTGAACCTTGTAATATGCCGTACGTTACTCACTAGCATAACTATTGAACTTTGAAAAATATCGTATTTACAGTGAATAATGTACAACATTTTCTAAAGTACAATGAGTAATGTACAACATTTTTCAAAAACTGTACAACATTTTTCAAAGTTCGTGGCCAAAATTCGATATTTTAAATTTCAGTGAGCAATCGAAGACATAGATCTAACTTCAATGATCAAAACTCGACATTTTTCAAAATTCAGTGGCCAAAACTCGACATTTTAAAATTCAGTGGTTAATCAAAGTTATGGACCTAAGTTCAATGACCATTGGAACAATTAACTCAAAATTCACACATGATGTAAGGAGAAGCATTTAATATTTAAATTAGGTTAGATTCATACTTAGAAGACTTTATACGTTCCAAACTAATCGCGTTCTATTTAAATTTATACTTTTTCATAGACATATTTTATCATCAATTCTTTGTTTATACAGATGTGAAGACAATTATATATGTTTTGAAGATTGACAAATAAAGCTAAGAGACAAAACAAGCAACCTAATATGTGAACTTCCAGAGGCATCAAATGCTTAGAGAGAAAAAAGAAATGAAAAAGAAATTTTTGCAGTCTTACTGCTCCATAGATCTGTATAAATAAGCAATGCGTTATCTCAGGTTTGCATTATGGAAGGGAAAAGATCAATTTTTTTATAACATTCATGAAGAGTCGTGTATGACTCAGAGCTGTGTCATTTTACTTCAATTTGTGAAGAGTATGTATCTTATTTCAATTTGTAGCTGGATCTTAAACCCTGGAATCAAGAAATCTCATTTCAAATTTGACTCTGTCTTGCATTTGGCTTCTATTATATACAATGGGGTTTGTGATCAATTTTAAATTCGTAGCTTACATGAGATTTTTTTTTGAATTATTTATCAAATGTTCCTCGTATTGTTTTGTATTTTCCATGAAGTATGTGTGTTCTAGAATGTTACGTTAAGGATACAAATGTACTTTGGAGAAAACGTAATTTCCACGATCAAAGGTAAATGATAACAACAAAGTAAATTTGAATATGCATATCATTTTTCTTCAATTGAAGTTTACAGTTCTCCTGAATTGAATGAAAATGTGGAAAACAAAACATATCTATATAAAGACTTCAAGCCCACCATGGAGCATCTCCTGTTCTGAAATCAGTTTCAACCCATGGAACAAACACAACTTTTCCATCATCAACATCTGCATGTGCCAGAGCCAAGGACTGTTCCAAATAGTGGAGAACATAATATTTGTTAGCACACAACAAATTAAAAAGAAAAAAGAAAAAAAATACGAGAATTTGTTCTTACCAGAGGAGCAGGACCCCTAACAACTCTGCCTTGATTGTTGTATTGAGAGCCGTGGCATGGACAAATGAACTTGTTCTCTGCTGTATTCCATGGCACAACACATCCCAGATGTGTGCACACAGCATTTATACCATAGGTAGCCAGTGTTCTGTCATTTTCGACTACCAGGTAGGTCGGATCTCCCTGCTCTTGTTTTTCGCATTAGACGTCTCTTAGAAATTTAGAGGGTGGGAATATTTGGTGTGCAGTAGTGAATCGAACTATGCTCATGAGAAAAGAGTACCTTCAAGCCTTGAGTAAGGGTTCTGTCACCGGGTCCGTGGTTTTTCAGCCACACTTCTGCTATTACATCATTCCCGAGGGCATCCTTAGCCACTTGACCACCTCCAGCACCTCCTGACCTGTTGATTATCGATGAATAAATCACTACTCAGATCAAATGACGAAGATGTTGTTGAGAAAAAAAATGGCTTTGTCCACCCCTTCCTACTTTAAGAGATTACTAGTTATTGGCTGAAAGAAAGTGGTAGAATAGTTTATCAATATCTCTTGATACAAACAAGCCAGAAATTCATCATCAATCAAGAAAGCCTTTCCGTCATTTACTCTTTAGAAGATGTAGGAACGATTTATTATCTTGATAAGAGATGATAAGAGACATAGATCAAGTCGAACAATATATTTGATGTTGTCAAATATAAGTTGTGAGTCCTATGAAATTTGATACTATCATACACAAATTTGATTCTCTTTTTTACAAGTTGTGGACCCTATAGAATGTGCAGATAGTAAGTGTGTGTCCAACGAAATATTTAAACTTTGCGGTAATACCAAAAAAGTACTTCCAATTCAAGTCACAATATATCAGTAAATGAAATCAAACTGACCCGGGGGGTGCAAAGAAAGAAGCATAAGGAACCAGCATGCCAGCACTGGGAAGTGAAATAGCACCCAAAAGGAGCAAGTTCATAAGCTGTCTTTTTCCCATGTCCGGCACCCGGTCGGCTGGAATACTAGTAGCCTGGCATCTAATCTTATTACCCTTTCCATTCCCCTTTTGAGAACTCCCAGTGGACTTCAACATTACAGCTTGGGATGGAGCAAACAGCCCATTCTTGCTTGAACAAAGCTGGAAAAAACAAGCATGTCAGTGCAAGAATCTGCAGATAAAAGAATTGGGAATTTTTATTTCTACCTGAGAAGGGGTGGGAGGGGAGAGAGTAGAGGAGGCCATGATTGAGAATTTGCAGAAGAAAGTGTTGATATCTTCTTCAAATATGTAGGATGAAAGGAAGTATAAACCGGAGGTGATGAAGATAAGAAGAAAATGTTATGTTTGATGGAAGATGAATGAGCTAACATAGCCACATGTTGAAGATATCTTACTCTTACGTTTTTAGGTAAAAATTTTCCCCAAAATTGAGAAAAATAGATATGAAAGGCAATTTGGTTATCGGCATCGGACCAGACCGAATCAAGAAAGACAGACCCGTGAAATTTTTGCTTTTCTCCAGATAAGAGTCTAAGACATTCAGTTTGATACGTTGGATTGGATTTAGGAGAAATTTGAAATTAAAATGAAGTTTAGGGGACCCAATTTCGACAAATTAAAGTATAGTGGCTCAATTGAAATATTGCTGAAATTTACCCAAATTTGGACACTCAGAACTCACTAGCCTTCTATTCCTCCGTTAATATTACCGCCAAATCTTGACGGGGCGTTACCGTCAAAACTCTCAAATTACAGGACTAACCGCCCAAAAATGGACTCTTCGCTTCTTCGGTATGAAGCTTATATACACGGAAAGAAACACAGAATCAATCCATGCCAGCTACTTCACTTCAAAGCTCTCTCTCTCTCTCTCTCTAAAATAAATAAACAGAGAATCAAATTCAAAAGAAGCAAAATAAGATGGATTCACAAGAAAAAGAGGAAGAAATTTCCTTACCCTATGATATCTACTACAATCTGATTCCAGAAGACCATAAAGATCTCTTCTGCGAATACTTCAATGCCGAAGAGGAATTCATGCCGCCTCCGTTCTATGCTAAAATACATCTATTCCGTTCATTTCGCCGTTACGCCATTATGTTTATGGAACAGGCAAGTAACATCAATTAATTATTGTATCCAGAAAATTTCTTTATGCTTTTGAGAATGATGAGATCTTTTGATTAATTATTGAAGAACTCCAAACGTGAGAAATTTGACGCATTCATACCGTACTTGGCAGTAGCCTACATGGATCGATTCATTTCAACTTATGATATCCCGGTAAAACTAACATTATTTTTTGTTTTTGTTTCTTGTTCTTAATTTTCTGGATGAACATAATTTGATTTAGTGATTTTTATTTTTATTTTTTTACAGGAAGTGATTCCAGGATCTCCCAAGCGAAACACTTATCTTTTTCTGACCTGTTGCCTCTCGATTGCTTCGAAGATGAGAAATGACGATTTTAAAATCAGGCAACTTCTGGTGATTAAATTAAGTTATAATTTGAATCAGAAAAATAAATCTGCATACTATTGACTTGTGAGCAATGTGAACATAGGACACAGGAAACCCTCTGTTTAGGTACAAAATGGAGGAGGTATCTAAAATGGAGTTGTCAATTTGCTGCCAACTGAAATGGAAAATGCGATATATAACTCCGATTTTCTTCGTGGACTACTTCATCAATCGCTTCCACATCCTGTCACCTACACATCCAGTGATCCCGCGCCGTTCTGTTCATCAGATCATTATCAAGTCTCAAGCAGGTTCATGATTAATCTTTCTTTCTTTCTTTCTTTCTTCTTCTTTTTTTATCTGAAATCTTTTCTTGTTTTTCCTTGAGGTTTCTTGAACTTTTGTTGCTTAATTTTTTTTTTCTTTTGAATTTCAATTGTAGTTATGAAACTCACACAGTACAGGCCATCGATTGTGGCCGCTTTAGCTGTTCTGGTTGCTTCCTCTAGGCTATATCCGGCTAACATTGTTGAGTTCACATGCCTCATTTCATTTTATCCACCCTATTTAATGAACACCATGGGAATACTGGTAATTTAATTAATCTACAATTAGTCTAATGTAATTTAATACCGTCGTTTTAATAAATATGTGGAAATATGTGTAGAATGAGGCGTTAAGATCCATTAAGAAGATAAAGCTGGATCCATCTGAGGAAGCTTCCAGTTCATCTGCAGGGCCATCAGGCGTGAAGAAGAGCACTGTAGATAAAATCCCGCGGGATCCAGATGGTCCAATGGATTTCAAGCTGGATTGGATAGGATTGACCTGGGGTGAGCTCGACAAGGGTTTTGATCCCATATCGATTATAAGAGCCTATGAATGTTACTTCTGTCTCTTTAGCTGAAGAAATTTAAGCACTGAAAGAAGAATGAGAGAAAAATCAAGAACCTAACATTTTTTGTATGTTTTCAAAAAAATCAAACACTAAACAAATATTTGGAAGGATATATAGCTTATGTCATATTAGGATCCACAAATTTATGCAATTACTTTTTGATTGTTTTTCAGTTTCTCTCTATTTGATCAGTTTGGAATTAAGAAATTGTGACTTTGTGAACGTGCTTTTAATTTCTGCAAGTCTTAACAATTTTCTTTCAACATTTTTGATAATTAGATTTAAGATATCCACACTCTTATGATGAAACCAAGCATTCAAAGGACAATTAGAAGGTTTCTTTATCATATTTATTTATTTTCTTGAGAGAAGTACTTCTCTTGATCGTTAAGTCATGAATTCTTGATATGTTGTTGAATCAAGAACCATACACATTCTTAAAGGTCTCTGCCTTAAATGCTTGCTAGAATCGACTATGTACAAAACCCAACTATGCACATACATTGTCTTGGTTTAGAAGTTACTTTCTAAAAGAACCCCGTCTTTGAATTTTTGGAATTTCTTTCTTGCACAAATATATGTAATTACAATGTAGACAATGAGGAATTAGGGTTTCACGATAATGATTTGAGCAATATGGAATTGAAAATGAAAACGTAAGATAAACCCTTTTTGAGGGTAACATAATATATCGAGGATGCTTTTGATTGCGAGGAAGCTATGAACTATCTGAAATTGAGAATATAATAAATTTATTGACACACCCTGCCCCGTGTAACACCACTAAATCCGGACGGGGCATGCGCCGATGATAGATACCAACTAAAAGTTGGACCCACAATCAAGGCTACTACAAATATAATATATCACTTTTTATACATCATTTTTCTAACAGAATTTCGGCATTATCTCCCCTATAAACAGGACTAACCAACATGTGATCAATTTCATACAAATCTCAAACTATAGCACAGCACAATAAAGATAAGTCGAAATATCAACCTTTAATAAGACATATAATAAAATATACATATGGATACAAAACACATAGTGAGCCCCATAACTATTTACAAGTGATGCAAAATCACAGCTAGACGTGAACATGCATCCCAAGACACTAACTACATGTTTTATGAAGTGAGTCATACTAACAAACTCTGTCGTATGACTCTGACTCCAAAATCAAGGCTCAACTCCAAAAGATGCCCAGATTCTCAACTGCTGCCTGATAAGGAAAAATATGGAAAAATATATGAGTTGATAGTTCAGTGAGTGGAGAAGTTCAAAATAAATGTACATTTTTCATTTATACTTTTTTATTGAAAATCAACTTCATATCATTTGATAATTTACAAGCTACCATCATGTAATTATAGTCAAAAAGTGAAATATCTACATAAGGTCATAAAAATATTATCTTAAAATCATGATATAATATCAGCTGATAACCATGCTATAATCTCATCACATCAAACGTGCTGAAAAATTTATCAAAAATGTACTCTCTTACTGGAATATGTAATCCGCATCTCGAGCTAAAAACTTTCGCCACGGGCTTTTGGCCCTCTCCGTGAACGAAAGCCGATCTCAAAGACCTTTCATAATCAATTAGAACACGATCAAGACCCCTCTGTGAACTATATGTACACGATCAAGACCAATGTCAGGTCAAGACCCTCCGTGTAGGATGGAACACGGCCAAGGCTCCTCTGTGAACTAGAAGAAGTGTATAATCATTGGTACTTTTCTGGCCAATCTCAATATTACATGTCTCAATTACCAAATAAATCTCAATATCACACGTCTTACATAGCAAGTCACAAATATGCCATAAATAATATTTGATATTCCACATGTATCATAATAAAAGAGATTTCCATAATAACCATATAATTCGAACACATAATTGCACATACTTTGACAATATACTTAATTTATAAATATTTTAAAAATATTTATATTTTTCCACTCACAGAACTATGTACGCCAAAATCAATTCGATTGGTACGCTGTCTCGATATCCGTATCGCCGCCTGAAATATAATATAATTTTTAAATTAACAATTAACTAATTTAAGTAATTTCAATAATTAAAGAAGTGATACCTAAACATAGTTATTTCACGTTTAGGCGATTTCTAAAGTTTCTTTAATTACTAAAATTAAATTTTCTTTCATTTTACTCAATTTCATAGTTTACTACACTTAACCCTTTCAATAAAATTAAATATAACGTAACAATCTAACAACTATAAAATCAAATATAACTTAACAATAAGTAACTTTTTACTTACCTTTCAAAATTGAGAAATTCAAACTTAATAGGATAGAGCACTTAATTCCTAATACATTGGCAAATTTTTTCCTTTTTTTCCTTTTTTTCCTACTTTTTCTTCCTCTTTTCCCTTTATTTCCTTCTCTTTTTCTCTCTGTACCCTTTTTTTTGTGTTGTGTGTTGGTGTTATTAATTTTGTTTTGGGTGGAATTCCACCGCCTCATATACTATATTTTATTTTATTTTTTTGTTTGACTTTTTTTTTAAACTTAATGTATTACAAAACTCACCCCCTTAAAAGAATTTCGTCCTCGAAATTCGATTGATCAAGTATGAAAAAGTCATGGATACTGAGAATGCATCTGCTCTTCACTTTCCCATATCGCTTCTTCTACAACATGATTTCTCCACAAGACTTTAATAAAAAGAATAGTCTTACTACGCAAAACTTGTTCTTCTTCATAGGTAAGATTTTCCTTTAGCTCAACGGATTGTGAATCCAAAACATGAGATGATCTGGAATATACTTACTAAGTATAGAAACATGGAATACATCATGAATTTTGGACAATTCTGTTGGCAAAGCCAATCGATACGCAACTGGACCGATGCATTCAACAATCTCATATGGGCCAATATACCTCGGACTCAATTTACCTCGTTTACCAAATCTGATAACACCTTTCCATGGAGACAATCACAGAAAAACTATATCTCCAACATCAAATTCAAAGTTTCTTCTACGTCTATCTGCATAGTTCTTCTGTCTATTTTGGGCTGTTTTTAACTATTTTTTAATTATTTTTACTTTCTCAGTAGTAATCTGGACATATTCAGGACCCTTCTTTCACCAACTTCATCCCAACATACTGGAGTTCTGCATTTCCCACCATACAGTGCTTCAAAAGGAGTCATTTCTATACTCGAATGATAACTGTTATTATAAGCAAACTCCATCAAAGAAAGATGAGTATCCCAATTCCCTTTGAACTGTAGTACACAAGCTCGTAACATGTCTTCCAGAGTCTGAATTGTTCTTTCTGACTGACCATATGTTTGTGGATGAAAAGCTGTATTGAAATGAAGTTTAGTACCCATAGCTTTCTGTAAACTGGGCCAAAATTTAGAAGTGAAACGAGAATCTCTATCTGAAACAATAGATACTGGTGCCCGCCCATATAAACTGATTATCTCGTAAACATATATTTTTGCCAATTTATCTAATGAGTAAGTGACTTTAATAGGCAAAAATCTAGCAGCCTTCGTCAATCTGTCTACAATGATCCATATGCCATCATGTCCACTCTAAGTCTGTAGAAGTCCAAATAGAAAATCCATAATAATGTGTTCCCATTTCCACTCAAGAATAGGCAACGTTTGTAACAATCCTGCTGTTTTCTGACGATCTGGTTTCACTTGCTGGCAAATGAGACATCTGGATACAAACTCAGTTATTTCTCTCTTCATTCCATGCCACCAATAGTGTTCTTTGAGTACACGATACATTTTTGTACTACCTGGATGCATCACGTAAGCTGAACTATGTGCCTCTTCTAGAATTTATCCCTTCAATTTCGAATTATCTGGAACACATAATCTGTTTCCCATAACTAAAGCTCCATCATCTCGAATGGTATAATATGTATGCTTACCTTTACTAACTTCTTCTTTCAATTTTCTCAACACTGGATCTTGAGTTTGAGTTTCTCTAACTGTGTCAATCAAAGTAGGCCCCACTTGGAAGTTGGCAAACAATGCTCCTACACTGGTAACTGATAATTAGACATGAGAAGCTCTGAACTCACCAAACATTAATGAACATACTGCATTAGTCTGGGTCATAGGACTCGATATTTTTCGACTGAGACATCAGCAACTACATTAGCCTTCCCTGGATGATAATCAATCTTGCAGTCGTAATCTTTTATCGGCTCTAACCATCTTCTTTGCCTCAAGTTTAACTCATTTTGATCGAAAATATACTTTAAGCTTTTATGATTTGTATATATCTGGCATCTCTCACCATACAAGTAATGTCTCCAAATTTTCAAGACTAGAACAACTGCAGCTAGCTCTAAATCATGTGTCGGATAACTCAGTTCATGTTTCTTCAACTGCCTGGAAGCATACGCTATAATTTTTCCATTCTGCATCAAAACACAACCAAGACCCTGACGTGAAGCATCACTATATATCACAAACTCTTCACTAGGAGATGGAAGGGTAAGAACTGGAGTTGACACTAATCTATTCTTCAATTCGGGGAAACTTTTTTCACAATTTTCATTCCAAACAAATTTAGCATTCTCTCTAATCAAACTGGTCAACGGCAGAGCAATTTTAGAATATCCCTCTACAAAACAACGATAATAACCTGCTGAACCAAGAAAATTTTGATTTTTTTTCACATTAGTAGGCCTTTCCCATTTTACCACTACCTCTGTTTTCTGCGGGTCAACATAAATTCCTTCTGCTATATGACATGTCCTAAGAATACAACTTTATCAAGCCAGAATTCACATTTACTGAATTTAGCATACAATTGCTCATCACGTAGAGTCTGCAAGATGATTCTGAGATGCTCTGTGTGCTCATCATGATCTCGAGAGTATACTAAAATATCATCATCACAAATCTGTCTAAATATGGGTGAAACACTCTATTCATCATATCCATAAATGTTGCTGGTACGTTGGTCAACCCAAATGGCATCGCAAAAAATTCAAAATGACCATATCTTGTCCTGAAAGCAGTTTTTTGGCACATCACTGTCCCTGATTTTAAGTTGATGATATTCAGAATGCAAATCAATCTTTGAAAATACTGCAGCACCGCGAAGCTGATCAAACAGATCATCAATATGTGGCAAAGGATATTTATTGCAAATTGTTACCTTAT